ATGTGATAGTCTAAAAATTTCATAATGTAATTTTCAAAAATTCAATTTTGTTTAAAATCAGTCTGAATAACATAGTTAATATAATATAATCTATTTTATCACAGCTACTAAGTATTGTACTCCTGTAAGCTTGTCTATATAATCTTATACACCCCATGTACCTGCCTTGCTCTATAGCCAGCTAGCAGACGATTTTCACCTGACCTAGATCTTGAGAATAACAGTGTAGTAGTAATAACCTTATTTGGATTGTCTATGTTTTCATCACGTGACCCCATTGACTACACAACTGTAAACAAACGGCTCTTACAACCACGTGATCTGGCATACTCCACTTTCTCAGCAGTAATACCGCTATAGCCACGCCTATTGTCTAAACAAATCACGTGATCATCTTGCTATGTCAATACTTTACTGTAGCCTTTTATATCAGGTCTTTTCGACCATTTTGGCTCTTCTGCTTCTTTTTAGGACAATTTTCAATACACAAAAGACTGATTTCAAACTTACTTTGCCGAAATATTTCTTTCAATATAATTAATAATGCCATATTTAATGGTTTTCAAGAATAATTTTGATTTTAAGTGTGTAAATCTGCATTCTAGCTTATCTCATCTAACCTATTTCAAATTCAGCCTACCTCAAATACATTATTTTACTATTGCATATTTTTTGTACTATATTTTATATAATACAAATATATGTGAAAAAAGAGGCTCTGCTTTTAACCTGTTTATAAATAAATTTTATACCTTTTATCCTTTTGTACTATACTTCTTTTCCCTACTAAAACCTTAAAAACCTTAAAAATAATCTTTTATACCTTTAATTTTGTAAATATTGAGCCTCAAATGTATATATTTCAATCATTCCTTGACTATTATTGGTTATAACTGTATGTATGTATTTGTATATATATTTGAATAAAAAAAAAAAAAAAAAAAAAAAAAAAAAGCACGAGACTCTTAATCTCGGGGTCGTGGGTTCGAGCCCCACGTTGGGCGATGTTATTTTTCCTGTCGTAATCAAACTTTTTTGAAAATTTCTGTGCCCTACAACTCTCAGAGTGCTGACAAGCAAACATTTTAACGAATTGGAGTAACCTGGTTTCGTGGTGTAGTGGTTATCACGTCTGCTTAACACGCAGAAGGTCACGAGTTCGAGCCTCGTCGAAACCTCGGATTATTTTATTTTTTGACCATTTTTCAAAACTAGGATATAAAATATGCTGTGTGTGCTTGATATAATTCTTCAGTTGTCTAACACAATTGCAGTGCATGGTTCGATTTAAGGATGAATCCCGCTACCATCAGGACGTATCTTGTCGGGGGTGTAGCTCAAATGGTAGAGCGCTCGCTTAGCATGCGAGAGGTACCGGGATCGATACCCGGCATCTCCAAGCTTAATTTTTTTTCTTAATGCTGCACACTTGCTGCTACTCTGGAGGAGAAAATACCGCTCGCCCTTTTTCTAAACAATTTAATTTACTATCTCCTGTTTAAGAAATAAGAAAGAGAAGAAGCAAATAAGTAAGAAAATGTACCGATGAGTGAGGAAAGGTGGCCAGGAATATGATGGCCAGGCTGGTAGATTTGTTACCTGCCCACAGNTGAGCCCTAACCCTAACCCAAACCCC